CCATCTTCTTTTAAGTTTATCTCCTGCAAGCTCAGCTAGGACAGCATTCCAAGGTCAGGGGTTGAGGTGGGGACAGTTCTTTGCCCAAGAGGCCAGTAAGTGAAGAGAGAATGAACTCCAGATGGAGTGTCGTAAGTTCCCAATATATTCTCAGGAATAGCCTGGTGCTGTCAGGAGCAACTGTATCTCATGTCAACGATGTACTGATATTAAAACATTAAATTCCATATTCTGCAGGTCTTTGTGTTTGAAGAGCAAATATCTAAGTCGGACTAACATCATAGGTATAAGAAGCATGGGTAACTATAATCTGTAATTCCCCGAAACATAGTTGCTTAATGGCTGAAGCTTCTCAAAATAATTTAGCAAGGACAATAACTTCAAAAAATGTAACTATATAAACAGAGATAGAACTGAAATGTCTTGACTAGAGGTAGAACTATAAAGTACAATACAATAAAATATCCTAAGTTGTATCAATATACAAAACATATACATAAAGATAGTTTTATATTTGTGAATAAAACATCGTGAACAAAAAGAAAACCCTACTGAGTCAACACTTCGGTGATGGACTGCGGTCAGGAGTTGTAAGATGAAATAAACCCTTTTTTCCCAAAGTTGCTTTTGATCATGTTGTCTTACTTAGGTTTCTATTGTCATGATTAAACAACTTCCCAACCACAGGTACATCCAGTATGAGAAATCTAGGAGAAAATGTGTCTCATTACAGATTCACAGGCATCATGCCCTCCACACCAAACATGCACAAGTGACTTTAGATCTCCTCTAATGTCTTTCACTTTATTAAATGTCCTAGACAAAGCACCCTGAAACAATGATTATTAGTAACATTTCACTACTGGTATCTCCTCATACTAATAGTCATAATTCAACTGAGAACATAAAGTATGATTTACACCCTGAATTCTTAACGTTTGTGGTGCTATTTCCAAACTTATATATCCCACGAAAGAAGTGTTTTCCCAAAGTGTGATTTACATGCTTAGAATATAATGGATACACATGTGTATAATGAAAGTAACATCAGGCAGTCAAGAGGGCATGCTACATGATCTGAAGTATCAGTGGCTGAACACATGGGCAGAATTAGGTACCAGACCTGGGAAATAGTAGCAAGCAGAACAAGTATTTACTGGCCTCCTGACATATTCCCTGGATTTTATGTGATTCCTGCCAAAACAGAAACCACCATGGCATGTCTACATTTGACTATGGTAGTTGGTAGCTAGGATGGCAAAGATGGAGGAGTAGAGAGTAGCAAACTCAAGGTGAAGGATGGGTACTTGAAGAACAGAACACATTTCTCTGGGAAAAAAGAACCAAGATTAAACTATGAAGTTTGCTATGTCTGATGATTCCTGAAAAGGTTCCCCGCTCCATGGTGTAGTTGACATATCTACTGAAGAAAACTAACTTTTCCTCTCCCAGCAGCTATAAATTACAAATATCTTCTTGGTTGGGGATGAAACCTTACAGATGCTCCTTGATTTACTATGGAGTTGCCTCCCAATATATCTGCTATAAGTCAACTGCAATTACTTGGAGCTACCTCTAGTACAGCTGACCTATGAATTAGCATGCCTTAGCAACAGTTCACTATAATGTTGACTGTTTATCTTCATGATTATGGCTGACCCAAAGCCACAGCACTGTCACAAGAGAGCACCCATGACATGTCCTAGGCAGGGGAAAGATCACAAGTAAGAGCAAATCTCTTGCATATAATGGTGAGGTCAAAAGATCATAAGTGGAACCATTGTTAACTCAGGGGACATATGTGCATTATCCTTGCACACACTGACATTCAAAAAATACACTTAACAAACTACAAGAATACAAAAAACAAAACAAAAAAACTTTTCCTGTTCTTAAATGAAATGAGTGCTGTTCTAACCCTTATTTCATGGAAGCAATAGTAAAGACTTAATGTTTAGTCCTGCAGCACTAAATTATCTGCCCATAAGAAAACACACCAGCAGAAACTGCAGCTGTTCCCCAGGAGTTAAGTTACACATGTTCTTCAGAATTAGTTAGGGTTTTACTGCTGTGAAAAAACACCATGACCATGGCAACTCTTATAAAGGAAAATATTTAATCGGGGCTGGCTTACAGCTCAGAGGTTGAGTCCATTATCATCATGGCAGAAATCATGGTGATATGGTGACCAGGCAGCCATGATGCTGGAGAAGGAGCTAAGAGTTCTACATCTTCATCTGCAGGCATCAGGAAGCAAATTGACTTGAACTTCTGAGACCTCAAAGCTCACCCCCTAATGACACACTTCCTTCAATAAAGCTACTCTCTGGGAAACAGGAAGCAATCTTGTCCTGAATTGATCAAGAGCAAAGTGAATACTAACATCTTCTCAAGTGACATAGCTCCAAACAGCCCAAAGCATTGAAGCAGAAAGACTTTTCAAACTTGGCCAAGGACTCCCACACTAGCCATATGATTCTAAGAATAAGACAAGGTAAATCTTCCTAAGGAGAGCTATGTTTAATGTCATGTAAAAGTAAAATATTATTCTTGCAATTTCCATACTTAACACAAAATCTCATGCTCATGACTTACCTGTCTATTCAGTGTGTTTGACCCATTTTTTTTCTCAATAAAATGGTAGAGAAAGATGTTTATTAAAATAAAAATGTCTTGTTCCAGAATTAGGATACTCACATCATATGCCATCCTGTGTGCTGTTTGTATAGATAGCTAAACATACATGTATGGTAATCTCAGGCAGATGGATAATATATTTTTAAAAAAGATTAATTAGGATGATAAGTGTCAGGCACCTCAGAAATCTGTATTTTTCATCTGAAAATTCACAAGAGAAGCAAAGATGGGATGAGATGGATTTGATTCTGAAAGCAACACATTATATGAGGAAAATTCCTCTAGGGCAAGAGAAAGGAAACCCATCTAAGTCTTTCTGATCTGTTCATCAATTTAAATTTGATTAACAGGTCTCTCTAGAAACCATGAGACAAATATTTGCCATTTCAAAGGTAAAATCTTGACCTTTGCTATAGCTTCTTTAGAGTGACAGAAGTCTGAAAGGAACAGAGTATCAGACAAGTCCCAAAGGTGTGCAGTAAATTTATGTTACCAGACATTAGGAAACATTTTTTTTCAGCAAAGGCATGAATTTTAGCTGCTCACTTACATCCTCTGGATCTTGATTTCATCCTCAAAGACTGTGAGTATAACCTTAGCCACAAATTTCCCCAAGAATTCTCTTAGTTATAAAGTCCTCAAATTTTAGCTAGAAATGGAATTTTGTCCTCATAGTGAGGAGTGGACTAGCAAAGATGACTTTGCATTTTTGTTGTTATTATTCTTTTCTTAAATATGAACATGGAAGTCCCACCAGCTCTGCCTCACTCACCTATGGATTCTTACAAGAAAGAGGGAAAAAAGTTACATCTCATTTTAATGACGTATGGTTGGCATAACTTTGACAGAATTACACCTAGTAATAGGAAGTGTTGAGCAAATAATTTCTAGAGAAAATCCCAGTTCTTTACGTGTTCTGCATAATGGGTGGGAAAGCCTTGATTTAGGACTAAAACGAAAAAGATAGCCTCATTACCCTGCCAGTGGTGATCACAGACAAGCACACAGGTTGAAGCTTAAGATCGATTTTAAATGATCACCTTTCTCCTATTTCTCAATATCTCAGACTGAAAGGCTTCTTTATCCTGCCTTTTAATTGCTCTCTTAATCACTTGCCTCCCATTTTACTAGCAGGCAGAACGGCAATAGATTGCCTTCATTTCAAAGGCTATCTTCAAATTCCCACGGGCATTTAGTAAAGTTTCATGATCCTCAGGCATAATCCTCTGAGAAGATTAGATCACTAAAAGAACTACTCCTGCCCCAACAGCATCACACAGGCAGGGGGCAGAGAGGGCTTGCATTGACGTGAGATTTGGAACCTAACACCCTCAGCTCACATGGGAGCCCACAGGGACTCTGCACCTGGCTCAGAATTGTTTTTGTTTCTGCAAGCCATTTCTAAAGTGTGAACCCAGAGAAACAACATATTACTTTATAAATGCAGAGATTTTCCTAATTGGTTTTACATGAAATTTATAGTCACAGACAGTGCTGTCATTTACTAGGAAACCCTCTTTCACTTTAAATTTTTTTGATGATTCCTTTTTATTTTGGGTGCATTAGTGTTTTGTTCACATATGTGAGGATGATGTATCCCTTGGAACTAGAATTACAGACAGTTGTAAGCTGCCGTGTGGGTTGTGGGACTTGAACCTCGGTCCACTGGAAGAGCAGCCTGTACCAGGATTTTTCTTTTAGGCCACCAACCAGCTCCCAAATCATGACATGGAGACTTATTATTAGTTTTGAATGCTCAGCTTAGCTTAGGCTCATGTCTAGCTAGCTCTTTTAACTTAAATTAGCCTGTTTCTTTTTATCTACCTATTACCTTGAGGCTTCTTATTTTTTCTTCTGTGTATCTTCTTTCACTGCTTCTCTATGTCTGACTATCTCTGGATGTCTCCCTCATTCTCTCCTCTCTTCTTCTCTCCTTCTTCCTCCAGTCCCTAGAGTTCTCCTATTTATTCTCTCTGCCGGCCAGCCTCAACTCTCCCACTTCTGCCTAGTTATTGGCCATTCAAGCCATAGGTGCCATTAAAGCCCTCAGGTGCCTAGAGTTCCTCCAGTCCCTAGAGTTCTCCTATTTATTCTCTCTGCCGGCCAGCCTCAACTCTCCCACTTCTGCCTAGTTATTGGCCATTCAAGCCATAGGTGCCATTCAAGCCCTCAGGTGCCTTAGGCAGGCAAGGTGAAACAGATGCAACACATCTTTACACGATTAAACACACATCCTTACAATGTTAAATAAATGCAGCATAAGCAAAAGTAACACACCTTTACACAGTTAAAGTAATAGTCTGCAGCTTAAACAAATGTAACACATCTTTACCCAGTTAAAATACTATTCTATAAGAGCAGTCAGTGCTCTTAACCTTTGAGCCATCTCTCCAGCCACAGTAAACCTCTTATGAACAAGGTCATTTCTTTAATCATTTTATTTTAATTATCTTTTTGAGATAAGATCTTTCTTCTTGTCTCTTTCTCTCTCCTGCTTTTCCTTCCCGTCCCTCCCTTTTTCTCTTTCTCTAGCCAAGGCAGCCTTGTAACTCGATATATAGCCCAACCTGCCTCAAACCTGAGATAATTCTCCTGCCTCAGTCTTTCCTCCTAACTCTGAATGCTGGGATTACAGGTGAGACACCAAGCTCAGTACATTTGAACCTTGATAAAATTCTGGATGACACACAGAAATCAAGATAGAGCTTTTGGACTAAGCTGAATTCTTTGTGTGGTTTTATAGTTTGGTGTCTGTTGGTGACTGAAGAAAAAAAATCACATGTATAACAGGCTTGGAAACATAAGGTTTCTCGGAGTATGTGTTATTCATGGAAGAGGTTTGGATATCCCAAAGGCAAGGGAAATGGATCTTTATGACCTTGGGATAGAGAGAAGCAATATATAAAGTACTAAGGAAATGTTAAAAAGAAAATGGTGGGAAACCATGCAGTGTGTTCATCTTCTACACTGAGTCAAAGAAATCATCACAAGCACAAAGCTGATTGCTTTCCGTTCTTTGCTTGAAATCTATCAGTAGTTTACCACGGCCATAGAACAAAGTCCAAACTCCTAAGTTTATCTAGAAAAGTGTGACAGACTTAGATCCTAATTACCTTTATGCTATGCTCTCTCAGTGCTCTGTCCAAACTGGTTGTACTTGGTATTGTGAGTTGAACTATGTCCACCTCTCTTGCAAAGGTGTGTGTGGGGGTTATGTTAAAGTCTCGTCTCCTCAGAATGTGACCTTATTTGGAGAAAGTCATTGTAAGTATCATTAGATAAGATGGAGCTTCTGTAAAATATGATGAGTTCCTAAGCAAAAAGGACCATTGTCCTTTAAAAAGGGGAAAATTGGGCATAGACACCCAGGGAGAATGACAGGTAAAGACATTGGCAGAGATTATAGTAAAGGCTTCCACAATCTGAAGAGCAGCAAGGACTGCCAACAAATCACCAGGAGCTAAGGAGGGGAGGGAACAAATTCTTTCTCAGTCTCACAAGGAACCAACTTTTCAGGTGCTTTCATCTTGAAATTCAAGCTCCCAGAGTCCTGAGAAAAATACATGTCCATTGCTTTATCCATCTAGTTTGGGAAACAGTCCCGACAGCCCTAGAAAGTCAATTCATTGAACATCTCAACTCTCTGCATGGATCTCTGTCCACAGCATTTGTTTTTTGTTTTTTTTTTTGTGATAGACCAGCTTCTTTCTCTTCTTCTAGCCAAGTTATCCTTATGTTTGGCTGTATATTTCCTCAAAGAGAGCCCTTCCTTAACCTCCCAAGCCTCTTCTTACTTCCCACTTATATTTACTATAAATTCCCTAAGATTCTACACTTCTTCAGAGCTGTATGGACTACTGAAATGTTGTTCATCTTTTTTGATTGGTTGTAAGCATAGACTGGTACGATTCCACTCCCAGCTGTGTTCTCTGTACCTAGACCTGCGGACAGCACAAAATTCACGTTCAAGAAATACTTATTGGCTAGCTTCCTTGACTTTAACTTGGACTGCTCTGTCCCAAATATTTTTTCAAAGATTCCACATCCTTGGTAATAACTCCAAGCAAATATTATCTTTCCTCATGTATATATTCATGTGCCTGAAGGCAGCCTCATATTTCTATAATTTGTTATTATCATACCTAACATTCTATTCCATTCCAGCACACATCTGTATAAGCAATAACATTTGTAAATGTGCTATTCTCCAAGAATGTTTTTGATTTGGGTTCTATATTACTGAAAAGAATCTCAATTATTTGGCAAGCCAACATCCTCTTAAGATTCTATCTGTCCAAGAAGGCATGAGGGAAAGCATGTGGTCGAGAACATTACAGGAATGAAGCAAATACTTGTTTAACCAGTGTTTCTGAATGCGAAAAACTCCGGTGACTCACAAAAATGAAAGGTTTGGTGAGAATTATCTACAACCTATGAAATAATGGAAGTTAATCTCAAAACACTGCCATCTACCTATATTTGTTATAAAGAAAGAATAAATGGTTATAGTCAGGTCTCAGCTCAATTATTTGACTTCTGACTCTGATGGTTGCAGTAAGTTTTAGATTCTTCTACAAACAAATGCTGTTGTCTCTGTGATGAATAGCTTAGCAAGTATGTTCACTGAGTGACAATATTTTAATTTATCCTAGAAAAAAATGTCTGAATAAATGTGAATGTTATAGATATCCTACTAAGTGGCTAGCAGCATCTTGCCTTTGAACAATTTTTTCTGACCATATAAGAACATGACTCTGGCATTTTTTGAAGTACATCCTATAGTGATATTTATTATAGTAAGGTGTACTACTTTATGGCATAGAAGGACCAAGGCAACTAGATATGTCCTAGGAATTCATTTAGTAAATACTTCTTGGACAATTGCTCAATGATAACTATTATGAAAGATGCTCATAACAGAAAGCTGAATAAAAATAATAATAATAACAATACTTTTTACTTATTGACTGTTTATTGTGTCAAACATTATACTGTGTAGACAACTTAGGGTAAACACAAGTCAAAGAGCTCAGATGGGAATATAGCTGTATTGATTCCAATGCCTAAGTCCATTTTTAGTGTATGGAAATTCCACGATGGAAATTCTTAAAATCTATGAGGTGCAGGTTGAGTTTTTGATCTAAGAAAGATAATATAAAAGTGTATTGAGAAGGAGGATTTAATTCCACAGTAATAAAGAAATGCCCTGAGTAATCTTTTCTTAGAATGAGTTTATGGGCCACTTCACATAATCTCCTCAAGTTCAAAAGTCAGGATTACAGTGATTTTGGCCTCTTAGACTCAAGTGAATTAAAGAAAGCAGAAATGAGAAAAAGAGCGTTCAAAACATTAAGTCCAGTAATGAGTCATTGTGTGAACATGTGTGTGCACGTGTGGGAGCATGAGAGCATAGTATATAAAAGAAGCCTGGAGGACTTGGGTTCAATTCCCAGATTAGAAAAAAAATCAAAAAGAAGGAGGCATATAAACACAATTGTTAGTTGAAGTTGGAATTTTGGAAATACTTTTGGGGCACATTCTGAACCTAGAGAATAATTTTCCTCCTTCTCAGTCTGAGCCTATGTGCTCCCAGAGATGTGTTATTTTAGTATTTTGTCTTTCATGCATATTCCCAACCACTGATTATTCTTTTAATTGATTTTTCTACCCCTAAGCATCTGTCTCTCTCTCCCTTATACAGTTCCAGAACATGAACAACTTGACATGATTGATAAATTTGAGACAACAGCATAAATACCTCAGGGAAACATACACTCTTCCCAACTTGGGTGGAGTATATACTTGGAAAAAAAGATTCTTGCCTTATGGTGGTGCCTAGAAAGCTAAATAGATGACCTCCACATTGTGGATTTAGCAGCAGGAAGTCAACTCAGATGTCAGATTCGATGTCAATAGCTAACAAAGTAAAAGAAAAATATATTTCTTTTGGCGTGTGTTGGGAATAAATATCTAGAACTGGATATAAGTGGATTACAAGAATTATTTTTGTTCATTTTTTTTCTTCCTCAAGCCTTACTAATATAGCTCTCGTTGGCAAGACCTTGCATGATCCATATGTACTGGTAAATTTTACAGTTTAACTGCAAAAGAACATAAAGGTAGCAAGATGGTTTCTATCTTAACTTTCAAAACAGGATAAACTTTTGGTATAAATGAATTGAACTTAACATTAAGAGAGTAAGTAGGAGTGAGTCTATGATACAGAAGGCAGTGTCCTGGGTGACTGTGTCAGCTACTTTCCTGTTGTTGTGATAAAACTCTATGACCAAGGCAAAATAGTTTATAAAAGCTATGGTTCCAAATGAAGAGTGTATAATGGTGGGGGAGACGTGGCAGCAGGGAGTGGAAGCAGGAAGTTGAGAGATCACATCTTCAACCTCAATCATGAAGCAGAAAGAACCAACTGGAAAATGGACCAAGGTCTCAAAGCCCTCCCCAGGAATGTATTTCTTTCAGTAGGGCCATATCTCCTCCCCAAACAGCACCACTAACTGGGGAACAATTGTCCCATTATATGAGTTTCTAGGGGATGTTCTCATTCAGACCTCCACAGTAACACCCAGAATTGTATTTTTTCTCGAGCTATCTTTTAATCTGTCATTTAACTCTTTTTCTTTTCTCTATTCATCATAAAGATATGGGAGACATAGAAAACATACCTGGAGGATGTGTGCTTGTATTCACTTCTGTTCAGTCCATTTACATTTTATGTTAATATTCAGTGTGCCTCAAGGTCTATTTTAAATATGATACTCTAAACCCTCTGTAGATTAATTTACATACAAACTTTAACCAAAAATTAAAAATAAATGTTTGGCCTACAACTACTACAAAGAAAGTAACTGTCTAGAACTTCAGTTTAGAAAAGAGTTTGGTGACTGAGCAAGATGTGTTTCCTTTATCTGCAGTATACATCAGTGAAGTACAAAATGCTGCATCTGGGTCAAAGTGTTGGTAAGTAGATACTACATTTGTGCTGTCCAATATAGCATTCACTAACTTACCTTTCTAGTTTAAATTCAATAATTGTGGTTTGGAATAAAGCTCAGAGATAGAAAGCATGTACTGCCTAGCCTGTCTCTCCTATAGAAATATGGATGAGATAGCAGTTGACACAGGGGCAGACACATTTTGGAGAGATGCGGGGTCTTATCCTCTCAATTCCACAATGATTTTGAGAGAGAGACAGAGAGAGAGAGAGAGAGAGAGAGAGAGAGAGAGAGAGAGAGAGAGAGAGAGAGAGAATGTACCTAAGTTCTGCTCTGTGAATCATTTAAGTTAGTCTTGCATAGTGATTAGCTGGTTCTCATAGCCTTCCATAGACCCCTTTATAATTCCTGTGACAGACATCTTCTAAAGGGATCTTTAAATGTATATCTCTTCTTGGCACCTTACTTAGAGTACTCTAAAGGGATGCTGTACAGATAACAAAGCAGAGCTCATTCACATTGGAAAAAATCCAGAGACTAAGCATTTTAAAACTTCATGATGTAATGAAAAAAGTAGAGCTATCTAAAGCTTTAGAATTGTTGATACAACTCCTTGTCCAATGTAAAGTAACTTTGCACTTTAGTGGAAGGATTTTTGCATGTCAGAAAGGAAGCACTTGGGTTTGCCAGAAAGTTCTCTGTTCAACAGGGCTGAGTATTGGGGAAAGATTGACATGAGCTTCAGTGGAGAAGGAACTACCAGTGTCAAACCAAAATGAAATATACTGGCAGCTTCTGTAGCCACTCTGGATTGACGGCTAGCATTAAAAATATATTAATCAGGTCTGTTGACTGCCATTTGTAGAACGAATAGACCAAATAATGTCATTCACAGTTTGGTGTCTAAAGAAAACTTATATTTATGTGGGGTGCCCTTCCAATGTAAGTCTGAGCCTTTTCGCTCTTCCATTTGATCATATCTCACAGGAAAATTGAAGTTTAAAACTTTTCATCTGTATTTGAGCATTGGTAAGCAAGTCCCAGATCTCTGATGTTAAATATGGCAAGGACTAACTACATTGGATTACTTCCATGTAAAATTAAAGTATTAGATCTGCTGAGAGGCAGACTACATGCTCAGCCTGTACAATGCTTGACATTCAATTCTCAGAAAGAAAAACATAGGTTAATTAAATTATTTAAATTTGAATGTATAAAATTTAGTTCTTCACTAAACTGTTTTAAGTGTTTAACTATCACATGTAACAAGTGATCCCAGTATTGAACAACACAGATAAAGAACATCTTTGACATCAAAGAATGTTCCTTTAGACAGCAATATTCTGGAAGAGTTCCCTGAAAACAGCTTAATTATCTAAATTTTTAAAACTAATCTTGCCAGATTTCCTATGGAGAGAGCATAATTGGGTGCCATAGCTCTGACATGGCTCTTCCTCACATCCACTGAACAGACTTAAAGACTATTCTTTGGCCTATGGGAATATGTAAGATCCTCAGAGACGGGCCAATTCATCTGGGATGAGGATCTGAAGCTAAGATTTTCACTGAAATATTAATTAATTTTTAACCCATTGCCCATTGAGGTAATTTTAGGATTGTGTAGTGGCTTACCAGGCTCTGGATAAGTAAGCAATGACCTAAAAAATCAACATACCACTCTATTGCTAAAAGACATTATGGAGACAGGAGTCTGTATGCTTTTGGTCTGCGAGAATTTCCAGGTTTTGCAGCTATGGGGTCAGGGACTGAGCTTCAAATTGATTGGAGAGGTCTCCCAGCCAGCATCTTCTTCACAAACATCATAATCCTCCTCCAAATGTGTAGAGACTGTTGATCTGTAAACAAAGGAACAGCATCTTAAGAGGAAAGGAGTCTTTCTGTAATAATTCACTTGGCTAGAAAGAACATGCACTCACTGACAGACCAGGCTAAAAAAATATTGGGGATTCTCTGATGCCTAGATGATGAGAGATTGCTGTGGTTGACCAGATGACTGAACAGGTATTTACCTAGGAATGGCACAGAACTAGAGAAGAAGAGAATCACAGGACTATGTTTAGTACATCTAATAGCTTCTACAGGTATCATAGTGTCTTTATGCTCCATGACTTTTGCTGAATCATTCATTTCCCAACAGATTGTTTCTGTGTCTCCTGCTCTTCTTGACCTTTGTTAAGACATTGCATGGATGGTCTCATATAGACTTAATTTTTTTCTTTCCTTTAAAATAGAGCAATCTTGGAGCTGAAGAGATGACTCAGCAGTTTAGAACACTTGTTGCAGAGGACCAGGGTTGGATTCCAGCTCCCACATTGTGGCTCACAACCATCCATAACTCCAGTTTCACCTGAATTGTTCTTCAGACTTCTTTGGGCACCAGGTACACACATGATACACAGATATTACATGTAGTCAAAACATTCATACCCATATAATAAGATTTAAAAATTAAAACTAATAGAGATACTGAGCCCATGATCTTCATTTTTCTCATTGTAATCTCTATATTGTCAGCTCATTCTGGTCTATTCCCCCTTTTCGTTCTTCTAAATGCGACTTGCTCACATTAGTATCAGTAGGGCTTTCCCCTCATCTAGGACTATAGACAGAATAAACACATTTTCTAAGAATAAACTTATATTCTCAGGTAACCTTCTGAAGATTAGGAATTTTGTTTTCTTCAGCCTCATTTGCTATTGAGACTTTCACCAAATTAACCATTACTTCATGTAACTAGTCTCTCAATAAACATTTATTGAGGCTATATAGTGTTCTAAACATACACTTAATACTAGAGATTCAGTAGTGAACTAAGCAAACAATTGCTTTCATGTTAGTGGAAAGAGGCAGACAATAAAGAAATAGAAACCCATTAAATTACTTCCGGTAGTAGCAACTGCAATCTGAAAGTAAAAAGGAGTTAATGAGATAAAGAGTTTCAGGATGGTGAGTTAGGTAGTTTGACTTGAAATTCCTGACAATGAAGTGAAAATTGAGGCAAAGCATGGATAAGGAGGAGGCAACCATGTACCAATGTCTAGAGGAAGGCTGTTTTAAGCCTGAGGACACAGGCAATACCCAATCCGAAGCAATGAATAAGCTCAGAATGTCCAAGGAAGGGGAAACTAGTGTGGCAGACCGGAGTAAGAGGCAGAATATTAGGAATGCACAAAACTGAAAAATTAAAATGATGTTTTATATATGATAATAACTCTAAAGGCAGATGGGGAAGTTTTGAGTAGAATGGGGGCCTCATTTGTGTTAGGTTGAGGCAGTAAAAGGAAAGGGGTTTACAGCCAGGGTCCTAACAAGAAAATGCCACAGTGTTAGCTTCAGGGAAGGGTTTGGGGGCGGCTTGTTATAAGTTGACTATGAAATGTCCCTCCAGCATTCATGCACTAAAGATTATGGACCTATTTGGGGAAATGATAGAAGCCTTTGGAGACTGTGCCAAGATGAGGGGGCTTACGTTATTGGGGAGAGATCTTTTCCTGCCCTTCCTGGGTTTCTCCTCTGCTTCATTGCTGTCATGAAAGCCAACAGCTCTGATGCAATATTTCCTTCTGCCATGATGTATTTCCTCACAAGACAAGCAAATAGTAATTTTCCTAGCTGTGGGCTGAGATCTCAGAAACAATGGACCAGACTAAATCTTCCCTTCATGACATTGTCTTTCTCAGGTGTTAGTCAGAATGAAGAAAAACAGCCACATGGAGGAATATGGATATAGGCATGGCTAGAACAGAATCCAGCAAGAGTTAGAGAAGGGTAGGGAGTGTAGACAGAGAGGAGCTGGATTATTAGATCACAGATCCTCTACCTGCCATTCATTTTTCTCCAAATCAGGCCACTTCCACCCTCCCAACCCCCACCCCCTCCCCCAGCTTGCCAACCCAGTCTCTTCTTCTCTAGAAAGAGGGTTGACAAGCAAGCATGTTGTGGCCTTGCAACTGTCGGTCATTTCTCCTTGCCCCTTGAAATTGACTAGCTGTGCCTGTTGGGAAGACCTAAAACAACCTTAAAGTAAACCCAGTGATTTCCTAGCATGCAAATTAAGTTGAGCAGGCCATGTAATGTGGATGTAACTTTCTCTCCCCCAAAATTGTAAGAACAAGAAATATCCTTTTGTTTCCTCAGAACTGAAGAACTGTCTCTCTTCAGGGCCCATCGTGCTACCTGTGGAATGATGTTACATTTCTCCTGAGATTCTAGAAACTGAAGGCTATCTCCCTTCAGGACATGTGTCACAGTGTCCACTGCAGCTATCTCCTAATGCTCTTCCCCATACCTAAAAGCCCATTCCCCGATTTCAGACCACGATGCTGCAACTCAATAAAGTCCATGTGAAGAGTGGTTAATCTCAGCTTCCTTTCTCGACACCTGCTTGTAGAAGTTATAACAGTCACAGCAAGCCTGAAAGCCATATGGAATGTACAGTGGTCCTTTTGTCTGTTTCCTCCAGGTTGGAGATGATCATAGCCACTTTCACTCAAAGCAACTGTGATCGCTCACATGAATGCTATCAGATCTCTTAACATTCCCTCCTAGACTGAGTGGGGAGGCTCACAAGGCTCATGGCTCTCTCAGGAGTCATGGGGTTCACAAGCCTCCATGAGATCCACTCAGAACTCTCCTCCCTGACAGTACATACGTAGGAAACTGGTGGGACTCTTCAGTAGTCCATCTTTCTATAACTCACTTCATAGGAATTTTAAGTGACATAACTTCTAATAAGACATTGATATTGTGACTTCAACTCTTCAGTTGTGCAGGTTTTTGCAGATCAGCCATTCTTGGATGGAACTCTTTAGTGGTGTAGCTGCCCATAAGTTCCTAGGGGATTTCCCAGTGGAATACTTTGAATCACTTGTGTTTCTGTAAGTAACCCTAATAAACTCATTGGTTCACAGAACTGGTCTTGGATGGAACCCATTCTTTTGCTTGTTGTTAACCTCCCTGTTAGGGATGGACAGATTCTTCTTCACAGCTCCCCAGGGAAAGTGAAGTGACACCTGGGAGAGAGGAAGCCCATGCTGCTGCCTCGTGAGAGCGATTATCTATGGAGAAGTGTGAATACTACCACCCTGCAGAAATGATACGAGAGCAAAATCCATCCTCTTTCCCACCTTTTCTCCTTCCAGCCTTCTACTCGACTCTCATATTTAGGCACATAGTCATTAAGAAAATCAAGCAAGTGGGATAGATAATTCATTTTGTGATGTCTGGCCTTGAGGGAGTAAAATCAGAGCTGGAAGGATAGAACATAAATAGGAAGGGAAGGGCTGGAACAGAGATCATGTATGGAAAAACAATCAATTTTTAAGGAACAACTGAGGACATAGCATGATGAATACTCTAGAAATGAAATTATAATGTAATATAAACAGGATTGACATATGTCCAATATCATTTTCTTAAAATTCTATTCTATAGTGGAGAAACATTTATAAGTGTTATGCTCAACTAGATTATTAAGGTGGCTTAATTCTAGTGCTCATAAGAAATAACTTCAGTATCTTCAGAGGTAAGTAAAAAAAAAAAGAACCAGTTAAGGCTGGAGAGAGGGCTCAGCAGTTAACAGCACTGACTACTCTTCTAGAGAACCCAGATTCACTTCCCAGCAACCACATGGCAGGTTACAACTGTCTTTACCTGTAGTTCTGGGGGATCTGACACCTTCACACCAATGCCCATAACATAAAGTTTAAAAACAAAGCAAAATAGTAAAAAAAAAAAGCATTTTAAAAGGGTGGGGTGGGAAGAACAAGCTCTGTCAATCTCATAAAATAAAAAACTCAGGTCACATGGGAAGAATCTACGTTATCTTTGAACTCGTTCTCCAGGGTGTTCATGCTGGCCTCCCTGGCTCTTAAGTAAATAATCTCCAAGGTAGAAATATGAATGATAAATGACTGTGGGCAGACATTGAAACCATGTTTCCAGGAAAAAGAAAGACTAGGAAGAAAAAATGTTCTAGTAACCACAGCACCTAAAACCCAGGTTTCCCTCCATTCCTGTAACTTTCCACTCTTTTTCCACACTTTATCTCCTTCACAAACACCAAGTCTCCACCCTACCCCCAAACCAACAAAACAGCAATAGGCTTTGTTTTAAAGGCAGGAAAGAATGGTGGGGAGTATTCAGGTGGTAAAGTGCGTATGCAAAGGCCAGAGAATCTGATTTTGAATCTCCAGAACCACATAAATCCAAGCCTGGAAGTCTGTTTGTAACCATACATACACATGCACACATGTACATGCATATGCGCAAACACATTATTTTTTGAAAAGAGTGTAACACATTAGGTTGATGATAAAGGGACAATCATTACAATACTAGTTAAGAAAGGAGAAAAAGTGACAGCTTTTATTATCAAAGCAGTGATCGGGGATCTTGCTGGTGCAGCAATTGTCTTACAATTAGAAATCTGCATGCCTTTTAGATAATTTGTTCTCCTTCTCTTATCTCATGTATGGCATTAACAAGGTCTGAGTTCCTTTAATATCACCACCTGACAGGAAAGAAGAAGACAAATACCAGAGGACCTATGGGCAAAGCAAGACAATTGTGTAAGACTAAGAGCAGAGATAAATATTACATCTATAATCTATGTATAATGGCTATGGAAGAACATGGACCATACCCATTATGCTTCCTAGTCATCAATCAGTGATGGGAAACCAGGGAAAACCTTACCATTGTCCCAGTCATACAAAGAAGAACAGCATGAAACAACTCAGTTTACCTGCATATGGCAGATGTGGGGCTTAGGAGGGTCAAAGATTTTAAAGCAATGCTCTTTTTTGGATATAAAACTCCAGAATTCTCTGTAAAGGTCGCCTACAGGGATAGGCTAAGGAGCAATCTGTCCAGTATCAAGATAAAGTCTAAGGAAGACAGACAATAACCATTTCTGAGGGAGAAAAAAAGGAAAGAAAGTAAGTCATTACCAGGGAGCCAAAAGAACGAACAATTCCTGAAGCTAAAACTGTACCAGGAACTATATGAATTTCCTTCAGCCTGAATAGAGAGATCTTGCTGAAGATTCAAAGCATGCAATGAACTGTGGTGAGGCCATGGCTAAGGAGAGGAAATGAATTGAACTCTAGAACCAAAGCTACTCTGTACTCGACCAAAATAAACAAACTTCAAAGTAGAACTTTAGACAAGTGGCTTAGCATTCTTTAAGCAAAGCACAAAATTTAAAGGTTCACCAAAACATACAACACCCAGCCTCACAAGAGCCTGGCAACTGGTCACAAAGTGTTTTAGATGTACAATCAAGGGAGAAGACAAATGACCAGAATATTCAGTCAACAGGAATATAGAGAACAATAAAGATTTAACTAGAAAATCTAAAACTTAAAACGCTTCCTATTTTCTCTGATTACCAAAAGATAGAAGAAATTGGGAATGAAAACAATATAAGATATATAAAAAACATATGGAACATTTAGAAATGAGAATTAATATATTAAACATTCCTAAAAAGAAGATACCAGAAAATGGAAAGATCTCCCATGCTCTTGGATTGGTAGGATCAACATAATAAAAATGGCAATCTTGCCAAAAGCAGTCTATAGATTCAATGCAATCCCTATCAAAATTCCATCACAATTCTTCAAGGACCTGGAAAGAACATTAATCAACTTTATATGGAAAAACAAAAGGCCCAGGATAGCCAAAACATCCCTATACAATAAAGGAACTTCAGGAGGCATCACCATACCTGACTTCAAGCTCTATTATAGAGCTATAGTCCTGAAAACAGCTTGGTATTGGCACAAAAATAGGCAGGTAGACCAATGGAACCGAATCGAAAGCCCTAATTTTAACCCACACACCTATGAACACCTGATTTTTGACAAAGAAGCTAAAACTGTACAGTGGAAAAAAGAAAGCATCTTCAACAAATGGTGCTGGCATAACTGGGTACTGGTATGCAGAAGACTGCAGATAGATCCATGTTTATCGCCTTGTACAAAACTTAAGTCCAAATGGATCAAAGATCTCAACATACATCCAGCCACACTGAAACTTTTAGAAGAGAAAGTGGGAGATACTCTTCAACGAGTTGGTACAGGAGACCACTTCCTAAACATAACACCAGTGGCACAGGCACTGAGATCGACAATTAACAAATGGGACCTTCTGAAACTAAAAAGCTTCTGTAAGGCAAAGGACACAGTCAAAAAGACAAAAAGGCAGGCCACAGAATGGGAAAAGATATCCACTAACCCTACATCTGACAGAGGGCTAATCTCCAAAATTTACAAAGAACTCAAGAAACAAGTCTCCAAAACACCAAAGGATCCACTTGAAAGGTGGGGTACAGAGCTAAATAGAGAATTCTCAGTAGAGGAGGCTAAAATGGCCAAGAGACACTTAAGAAAGTGCTCAACATCCTTAGCCATCAGGGAAATGCAAATCAAAACAACTCTGAGATACCATCTTACTCCTGTCAGAATGGCTAGAATCAAAAAACACCGAAGACAATTTATGCTGGAGAGGATGTGGAGAGAGAGGAACACTCCTCCACTGCTGGTGGGAATGCCGACTCATACAGCCTCTTTGGAAATCAGTATGGAGATTCCTCGGGAAATTGGGAATTAATCTACCACTAGACCCAGCAATTCCACTCTTAGGCATTTATCCAAATGAGGCAGGCTCATACAACAAGGGCATCTGCTCCACTATGTTCATAGCAGCATTGTTTGTAATAGCCAGAACCTGGAAGCAACCTAGATGCCCCTCAACTGAAGAGTGGATAGAGAAAATGTGGTACATTTACACAATGGAGTATTACTCAGCAGAAAAAAACAATGGAATCTTGAAATTCGCAGGGAAATGGATAGCACTGGAAGAAACCATCCTGAGTGAGGTAACCCAGTCGCAAAAAGACAAACATGGTATGTACTCGCTCATATATGGATTCTAGATATGGGTCAGGATAGTGCCAGTCTGCACTTCCACAGATAGAGAGTCTGGGAAACAGGAAAGAACCTAAAAGATATGCATATATGCATAGTACCCAAGAGAAGAGGATGGAGACAAGATCCTCTGATGGGGAACACGGCGAGGGTGGGGGGAGTGGGACCTGGGAAGAATAGAGGGGGTAAAGAGGAAGGGAGTTGGTCATGGGGGAACAGGAAGTTGAGGGGGTGGGGGTAGAATAGGGGAAGAGGGAATCATAGGATCGAAGACAGATCAGGCACCAGAGTGACCTCGAGTGATCTAAAGGTATAACATCAATTGGCAAGCTAAGCAATAGTGGAGGGACCACCTCGAATGCCCATTCCTGATAATGAACTTGATGTCTATAACCATCCGGGAGCCTTCATCCTGTGACTGAT